TCTCTCTCTCTCTCTCTCTCTCTCTCTCTCTCTCTCCCTCTCCCTCTCCCTCTCCCTCTCCCTCTCTCTCTAAATATATTATATATATTTTAATTAATTTTTTTCAAGACAGGGTTTTTCTGTATAGTCTTGGCTGTCCTGGAACTTGCTCTATAGACTGGGCTGGCCTCAAATTCAGAGATCTGCTTGTCTCTGCCTCCCAAAGTGCTGGGATTAAAGGCACACACCACACCAGGCTAGGGAATTATCTCTTGCTAGTACATTTATAAACTCAATGGAGGGACCATTTCTTTTCCTCCACCAAAGGAAAATATAGAAAAAGTGTCCCCCGGTGTCTAAGGCAGACCCCACTTGTGCTGTGTGCAATGGATTGAAGCTGTGATTTGCCAATTATCCCCTTCCTTCTGCCAACCTGACATTTCTACTTCCTAGATTTTTTTTTTTTTTTTCGAGACAGGGTTTCTCTGTGTAGCTTTGGTTCCTGTCCTGGATCTCATTCTGTAGACCAGGATGGCCTTGAACTCACAGAGAGCTGCTTGGCTCTGCCTCCTAAGTGCTGGGATTAAAGGCGTGTGCCACTACTGTCCTGCTTACTTTCTAGATTTTATCCTGAACAAATAGACAGACACATGTGCTAACACTGTTGTACAAGAATGCTGTTGCATACTCATGACCCTAGCACTTGGGAGGCTAAGGCAGGAGGATCACAAGTTTGAGGCCGGTCCAGGAGATATAGTGACTTCTGGGCTAGTCTAGGCTATATAATAACAACCAGTGTCAAATCAAGCCAGACAACAGAAATGTCCAAGAATCCCGCAAGGGTGCTGTAAACAACAGTAGTAAGATGGAAACACCCTAAGTCCACTAGCCAAGGAATTCAAGTTTTATTATGCTCTCACCATAGGATAACCTGCATTTAATATAACTGTAATTATTAACTACCAAGGAAACATCTCTATGGACAGTTTCTCCCAGAAGACAATGGATGGGTCTCAAGTACCTTCTAATTTTCAAAGAGAGAAAAATAAATTCATACTTTACCATCATCTTCGGCTAAAGAGAGAAAAAGAGAAACATATATGTTAAATTACATAGTTCAGCTGAACATGTCCCCTCCCCACCCTTTTGCAACTCTGTTCTTCCTTCCAAACCTATCTCTCTCTTTTTCTCTCTCCTTGGGGTCTTATTAAATAGTTCTGGCTGCCCTGGAACTAACTCACTTTGTAAACCAGGCTGTCCTCCAACCTACAGAGACCCACCTGCCTCTTCCTTCTAAGTGCTGGGATTAAAGGCGTGCGCCACCATGCCTGGCCCCACTCCTCACACCCTAACCTTTGTGGAATGGTGATGGGCTCTGTTGGCCTCCATCAGGAATATCAGATGACAAACATCAGGAGCCCATAACAGGGCTTGTGTGTGCTCAAGTATGTTAGGTATAAGACTTAAGTCTAGGGCTGGAGAGATGGCTCAGTGGTTAAAAAGACTGTCTGCTCTTCCAAAGGACCCAGGTTCAATTCCCAGCACCCACATGGCAGCTCACAACCATCTATAACTCCAGTTCCAGGGGATCCTCAAATGGCACTGCATGCACATAGCACACAGACATACATGCAGGAGAAACATAAAATAAAACAGTAATAATTGAAATATTTAAACCCAGGATTTGTAAATAAAAAGTTTTAATAAAGTGGCATTTTTTTTAAGTGGCAAACTTTCCTTTAAATTTATTGTTTAAATGGAAAGACATCTAAGGATTTCCCAGGAAGCTTCCAAAGAAAGCTGAACTTTCAGTGAAGTCAAATCACCAATGGAAACTTAGAATCCTTTTTTTTTTTTTTTGGTCAATATATTCACATGAATGATATACACAGAACTCTAGTCCTAGAATACCATGAATTGTATTTTTTTGGGAGGCAGTGTTTCCTCAATGGTACATTTCCATGATGGGCATCAGACACCATCTTGGTGAGCTACTGCTGGAGTGCCACCCCATGACATAGGGCAGGAGACTGGGACAATGGGAATCTTCTGGTTATTTTTAGAGAGGGAGGTCATTAACATTACAGTAGAATCTGATGACCAACAGAAGTCCAAGCCCACTTCATGATTTCCTTTCTAGTTGAATACCTTTATCTGAGCCCTGCATTTGTCTTATTGATTTAGACTTACGCATAAAGTAAAGTGTGTTGTCAATAAATATCATTTCCTTGAAGTTGATGCAGAAGCTTTCAGGGGCGGCAGCCATCGTTATTCCTAATGAAAGCAAAGGGTCACCCGTGAGGAGCAAAGATTGCTCTTTGTACACATAAAAATGAACAAACCTCTTACCTTTTAAAAAAGATTTGTTTTGTTTTGTTTTATGTATTTGTTGCTTTGCTTGCATGTATGTCTGTGCACCACATGTATGCAGTTCTCATGGAGGCCAGAAGTCATGGGATGCCCTCGAACTGGAGTTACAGATGATTGTGAGGCACCATGTAGGTGTTGGAAACAGAACCCCAGTCCTCTAGAAGAGTAGCCAGTGCTCTTAACTGCTGAGCCACCTCTCCAGTTCCTTAATGTTACCTTCTAAACCTCCACATCTGAAAGTCATTTATCATTCAGTATGCTGATGAATACTGTGATGTTTAATAAATGTGAAGCATCAGTCTAGCACACATATGTTTATGGTCTTTTATAAACTGTTAGCTGTCTGGAATCAGGACAGTGCCGTTTCATAATATTTTAAATGGTGAATATATGGCTCATTATTGAATGATTAGTTTCAAGTTCACTGAGGATGCTAGAAATACATCCTTAACTGGGGATGAACTTAACCTGAACTTAAACCCAGTAGCTTCCTGTAGATGAGATGCTGAAGGTTCATGACCTCACTGTTACAGTGGTGAAGGAGAGGAGGCAGAAGAAAGCAGTATTTGGGGCAGTGTGGGAAAAGGCTCTGACATTTGTGGGTTCCTTCTGAAGGCAGCAACAGCTTTTGATCTGAAGTGTTTGTGTATGAGTAATACATAAATATGATGATTCTGCAAAAAAACCCAACAACCCAAAAACTCATCATATTTGCTTTTTCCCTTTTCTTCACCCTACTCTACATTTACACGTGTATAGCCTTCCAGAATTTTATCATGGAGTAAGGGTTTGTCATGGAGTTCTAAGTATGAGAAATCTGTGACTTTGGGTAGAAAAAAATACATATGTTTTTCCCATTTATTCCTAAGCTAAAATGTAGTACCCCTCCTGATGTTATGTAGGGAACAAACCACAGTGCCCTGACCCTGCTACTAATAGAAATGCTTGCTTATTATCAGCTATTGTTGCTACCATAAGTCTTGAAATATGTCTTAAGCTCTTTATCGTTTTGAAATTATCCTAGTAGATCTTGTGGCTTAATATATTAATAAGGAACACAAAAGCACTCTATAAAATTGATAGATTGTTTTCGACAGCACTTGTGAGGTTGAGTCAGAAGGATCTGGAGTTCAAGACTATGCAGTAAGATTGCTCCCTAAGGCCCTGTCTCAACAACAGCTTCCTCAGCTTTTAATAACCATTCTATCTTAATGCGTTTCCTGCATGCACATTAATGTGAAAATAACGGGCTAGATGAAAGCAGCATCCTCAGGCTCTCTCTGCTCCCTCCCGTGGTCACTGGCAGGTTCTCTTGACCCCTTCCTCACCTAAGGTAGGAAAAAGACTTCTCTGAAGCTCACTGTCTCCTGAAGGCGGGTCCACCGAAGAGGAACACGATTACCTTCAGTTGTTTAGGTTTTTTTTTTTTCCTCTTTTGAGACGGGGTGCTGTTGAAATCATAATCCTGCCTCAGGGGCCATGCTCCCCCAACAGTTATTCAACTCTCTTTAAAGCCACCTGCAAACCTTACTTCCACTTCCTCTCTGAGGAACGTATCCAAACTTCACCTCTCTGGCTTCGGTTTATTTTCATGTTTCGTGTAGCTCAGGTCCTTGTGCAAGTTAACGATGTCTTGTAGCCTTTGCTCCTGATAATTTATTGATTGTAGTCTTATTTCAGCAGACTCAAATATGGCACCTTCAGGGGAAAACTTCAAACTTCCCCTACACCACAGGAATGTTCTAGAGAGCAGCTGGCGTCTTGTGCATTGAGGGCTGTTAATGGATGGAGCTCCCAGGACTGTGACTGAGTCACAGCTGTTAATTGTTTTTATGGTTTGTAGCCACCAAGACTAGTGTTGAGACTTGGTCTCTATGTGTCAGTGCAGGAGGTGAAGCTTTGTGGAGATGTTTGGAATTACATAACATTAAAGTGGAGCCCACAGGAAGGAATGGATTAGTGCTTTTTCTCATGAGAGGGCACTTTTAAGAAGATTTATTCTCTCTCTCTCTCTCTCTCTCTCTCTCTCTCTCTCTCTCTCTCTCTCTCTCTCTCTCTGTCTTTGGATACCCTGGAGCTCTAGTTACAAATGGTCACAGACCATCCGTATTTATTACTTTTAAGTCTCTCTCTGTCTCTCTTTCTGTCTCCCTCCCTCTCCACTGCTGCCCCCCAAACCCCCCCTCTAAATTATCTAGCTTTAGGTATTCTGTTATAGCTATTGAAAACAGTAGTATTTAGCGGAGTATTTATAAATCTGTGTTGTTTTTTTTTTTTGGTTTTTT